TAAACATATGGTATTTTAAACGCTAAAAATAAAGATTTACTGTTAATGTTTTATGTTTAGACCACGGATCGTTTTCTGCTACTGTAGCTGCTATAGTAATGGCGTCAGCATTTGCTATTGCACTAGTTGTCATCTTTATCCTACTTCGTCGGTAAGTATTCAAATCTGTAATTCAGTAAAATGAGTAAAAACATACATACTTTACTTTACAAGGGTACCACAGCATAGCCAAACTCGAATAAGTTATCATAACGAAACAGTCACAAAAGGCTAACATTATTGGAATATCATTTATTTTTTCACAGCGGACAAACATCCAGAGAGTAACTTGTTGACATCAAAAAGGACTCAATCGAAAAATAATAACAGGACTTGAACTGATGAAATTTAGCAGATATTTCTACAAACAAATTTGTTACATTTTTTTAAATGACGTTTTCAAGTGCTAATGTCTTTTTACCTAAAATAAACCTAACGGATTGTACGTTTTTTAAATGGTAATGGCTTAATACATACAAACAGAAATTAATCTTGGTACTCCATAAGGTCCATGAATGGTTGATTGTTTTGAATATTGATATCATATTATATGTATGTATGTATGTATATGTGTATGTATGTGTGTTTGTATGTATGTATGAAAGTGATCCTTACTTTGATATATATTTGAGCACTGTATTTATTACCTATTTGATTTATACAGTATTTATGTTTCCCAGTGCTTTTTCGTAGCTAAAATTGGCTCCACTATGTGTGAGCCCTCAAGTTGTATGAAATAGAGAGACTAGTGGTCTAGTGGTCACATGATCATTCCATTTTGTATTTCTTGGTAAAAAGGGAGGTATAGTCCTCCCCTGGGTTTATAGCCTCTCTACCCAAACCAATGGATGCATCGGCACACCTGCTTAGGTTAATTTTTATTAATTCATATATTTATATACTTATTTTGTGTACCGATGCTATATGGATATAATATTTTAAATAAAGTTGATTAACTGATTAGATCCGTATTTATACCGTACGGGCCTCTGTGATCTAAACGGTATGACGCTATCCAAGAGTTTGC